TTCTAACGAATATGGAAGGACGGTGGGCCTGTGCGACTGCTTTCACCGTGTTTATTTGCTTCGAGTGCTGCCGTGTCTTGGACCGTGGAACACTGAGACTCACAGTGTAGCTAGACTATGTGGTTGTGTTGCGGATGTTGCGGGCATCCTACTGTGGCACAAAATTTGCGAATCAGAACTGGAGGTGAGTTTCGTTCACGCTAAACTTATGAGACACAGGCCCACCCTGTTGCCTAGTTGCACCTCGGAGGTCACCCGTGGAATCTGAGCCCGGTTTATGCATGTTTATGCAGGGGTCTGAATGCAGTCCGGCTTATCGGAAGAGCACACTCAAAAGCAAAACCCCATGCCTAAAGTGATTAATTTGTCATATCTGTTTAATGCCCCCCCCCCAAATATATTCGGCCTTCAAGTTCTCAATGTGTTCCGCGATCTTTTTGGGTGACTCCTGAGCCGCTTGGAGGGCGCTCTCACGAGGACTTTGCACTGACAGGGAGAAAAGGCACCCCCATGTCAGACTCTTTTTGCCTGAAGTCATCCTGTGCCGGCATTCACCAAGTCCATTGCTTCAAAACACGAGCAAACTACTTGTAATGAAGTAGTAGTTGCGGCGAACCCTGTGCCTCAAGCATGCGCTCGCAGAGGTCGCCAGCAGCTTGCTTGGTCGAGCTTTGCTGAGCCCCTCGGCTGACGCGCAGCTGGCACGGTGCAAAATCCCGGTTGGGTTCGGGTTATGATTATTATGATTATTATGATTATGATTATTCTTATTATTATTACTATTATGATTTCTATGATTATTATGATTATTAGTATTATTATTACCAACCTAGTTTGTTTTTTGGAGCCCACGGCTCCACCTTGCTGCGAACACATGTCCTGGTCGGTCAGGTCTCGTGCAGGTGGTGCAGCGCATGTTGCCTGCTCCGTTCCCTCAGACGATCGTGCCCTCACCAGCCATGGCCCTAGCTTCAATGAGCTTGGAGCAAGCTTCGCTTGGGGGGCTCCCTCAAACATGAACCGAAGCCTTAGAAACACCAGCTTTCGATGTAGTGCCTGTGCCAAACGAATTCATCCGAGCTGAGGGAATCCCAGGCCTAAATGTGATAGCTTTCATGACACGAGTCGTTCGGATTTTCCCTGCTAACCTCGCCTAGCTTGCCGAAAGTGTCACAAGAACCCCTGAACCTCAGGCTTCGGGGAGCCCCAACAAAGCCTCGTCATTCGAGGAGGCGGCAGATGCCTTCTTAAAGAACTTGGCTGCCGAGCACACGCAGACTATGTCTGAGGCAGTAGCATGCGCTGCTGAAGTTGGCCTGATTTCAAGGTAGAGTTCTGGATGTAGGGCAACCCACCCGTAACATGTTGCAAAACTGCATGCTCAGACTCCTACATAGAAAGGCTCTGCCACAGGCTCTGTGACTTGTGCGGCAACCCATGATCCGCCAAAGGTGCCCCAACCCTTGTCATCCAATCTTCAAACGGTGCTGGTCTCCATAGTGACTCCCGCCAGGTGCAGCTTTGCACACCAGCGACAAAAGACGGCTCGATCATTGACCTGGAAGCACTCTTCGTAACAAGCAGTGTAGCCTAATCTCTTGACTGCGGCTCAAGGGTGCCGCGGTGCCGCAAAGGCAAGCAGCCTGGTGCCAAACCTCGGGCACCGCAGCTTCCGGAAAGCGCCATGGACCAGCGATCTGACTCCCCAAAGCCGTCCGAGAGAGCACCGACCAAGAGCGATGGGACCGTTTCCACAATGGACACCGTCAGTTTTGAGCCGGAAGAGGTCGAAGCAAGCAAGGATAGGCCTGCAAAGAAGGTGCCGCGGAGGTGGTGTTGCCACTGGCTTCGGGAGCTCTATGCCTCCTTCGGCAACTTCATCCCCTTTGCAATCTTAACCTATGGTGTGAACCAGAGCGTTGCATGGGCCATAGGGGGCTTTGCCCTTCGCTTCTACATGAAGGATGTGCTGGACTAGATGGTGCTACCGTGGGACGGCTAACAACAGCCGCGGGGCTTCCATGGAATATGAAGCCCTTCATGGGCATGCTGTCCGATGGTGTTGCCTTCTGCGGCTACCACCGCCGATCCTACATCGTCCTTGCTGCAGCTGGTGGCTTCGCCTCGTATGTCTTGCTCGGGACCTTGGCATTGCCAGCTGCAGCGCTGGTTGTTGTGATGATTGCGATGAATCTCTCAGTCTCCACGACGGACGTCATCGTGGATGGTAAGGGTGCCGAACTCTCGCGCCAAGTGCCGCATCACGCGTCTGATCTGCAGTCCCTCTTCGCGGTTGTCGGTGCGTTCTTCAGTCTGGTGTCTTCGAGCTTGAAGGGATCCCTCATCGAATGGTTTTCGCCCCAGACGGTGCTGCTGAGCTTGACGGCTTGCTCAGTCAGCCTGCTTCTACCTGCTCTCTGGGGCTGGCTGCCCGAAGAAAGGATTCCGCATGCACGATGTGTCGTAAAGCTGGACCAGTTCCGGAAGCACCCGTCAGTGTCTATGGTCGCTGTGCTGTTGACCCTCGTTTCTACCTGTTTGTCCTCCGTGCAGGTGCTGGTTCCCAACAAGCAAGCAAGAGCTGCGGTCACGGTGCTTTGTGCTGCCGCCGTGGCCACGCAGTCTTATCGGGCATTGAAGCAGATCATGCCATACTTGGGCAGGACTGCGCTTTTCATCTTCCTCAGGCAGAGCTTGCAAGTTGGCCTTGGGTGAGACGATGTTTGTGTGGCTGACAAAATATCCCGAAGGCCCGCAGCTTAGCCCCTCTAAGCTGGGCTTCGTCGACTGCTTTGGGTCCCTTGGCCTTCTCGTCGGGGTTTGCATCTACAACAAGTACATGACCAGCTGGTCCTTCCGTCGAATCTTCCTCACAGCACAGCTTTCGGTCTTCTGTGCTCAGCTGCTGGAGATCGCTTTGGTGGGTGACGACACCTTCGGATTCTGGGCCCTGTTGGTTGGGTATTCTGATTGAAGCCTATTGAAGCTGCCACTTTTTGGTTGGGATACATGCTACGCCATATTAATTCTTGTCACGTGACATATGCTTTCGTCCGTATTATTGGTAACTTAGCTGAAGTTTCAAGAGCCCAGGATTGCTGGTCTCGAGGTTCTTTTTCATTCCGATGTGCGTGCTCGCGGCAAAGGTCTGCCCACCGAACCTGGAGGCAACCTTGTTTGCGACCTTGTTGTCTCTCTCCAATTTTGGCGGTGCCGTCAGCGGATTCTTGGGCGTGACAATGTGCGAGGTTTGGGGCCTTGTCGGGGATAACTTCGACAATTTGCCCTATGCCAGCCTGACGAAGGCTTGCACAGCACTTCTTCCAGTACCCTTGATCTTTGCCTTGGCGCCCACCTTCACGCCGAATGATCCGGTGCACGAGGAGGTCCAAACGGGCGAGTCTCAGGAACCCGCATCCGAGAGGTCCGAGACAAGCCAGGCAGCGCCCAGCGTAGCCCAGCGTAGCCTAGCGTAGCCTAGCGTAGCCTAGCGTAGCGGGCCACGGTCGTGGCCTCCTCTGAGGTTTCTTCGGGCCGAGGTTTTGGACGTGCCTAGGTCCTGCCCAGACCAGCTCCGTGCAGTGTTCTCATGATGGCTAGTCCGACCATGTCTGACTGGTTTGACCCCCAGCTTGGTTCCCTATCCTGGTCCGGTCTTGCGAGTACCCGGGCATGGTATATTTTAGTTACTTGCCGGCAAAGCTGTGTCACAGCAGCTCTGCGGCTGCGAAGAGTGCGCCGTCGTCGCCGCCAAAGGCGGCGGATGGCAAGGGCAGAGGCAAAGGCAACAGAGGCCGTGGAAAAGTAGCAGCTGTGAAAAAGGCTTCACTTAAAAAGTGAACCGTCGCCTGCTGCTACGTTTCCCTGAAAGCACCAATGCCACAGTGATTTCAGCTGACAACAGCTAATCAGAAAAGCCACGAGCCTGCTCTGTCCGTTCGTCAGCAACATGTGCACATGAGCAATCGGTCGCAAAGCGCACCGATACACCTACCAGAACGTCTCCGAACAAAAAGAGTGAGCTGTTCTCACGCTGCGAGAGTGACTTGATGCCAGGTTTTCATGTGGGTTTACTCGGATTTCTTGGTCTTCACTCTCTCATTTCACTTGCTGTTTCCGTGCTGCCCCTGCTAATGCTGCTGCTGCAAACCTGGTCGTTGCTGTTTCTGCTTACTTCTTTTGATCCTACCTTTGCTGCCGTTGCTGGCTGGTAGTGCTAGTGACTAGTGTTGCCTCTGAAATGTGGCTCGACAGTTCTTTCGGCTTTATCAATATTGCGATGTTCCTGCTCCAACTCGGGTTCAAATTAAAAGGATGATGTGTTGAAAAGTCGTCCAGCGGGCGCCAACGGCAGCCAAACGAATCTAGAGCATTCTGAAGCAATTGGCTGCCAGTGGCTGCTGGTGGCTGCCGGTGGTTGCCGGTGGTTGCCGTTCGTCACAGCTGGCTGCCCATCAACTAATGGGCTAGAAGTGGCATAGGCGTTTCGTTTCCCTAGGCGGTTTTGCTTAGGTGAGTAGGTTGGCCATGATGTGACCGGTGACTTGTGTATGGGCTTTTCCCGGTGGGGGAGCAGGCAAAAGTTCCTGACGGTGCTCTGGACTCCCGGGCAAAATGCCGATGACCTGGTGGCTGAAAAGGTAACATCATGGGTCAAGGTTGGCATATTCGAGCAACCACCAAGGCTCACAGTGCATGCTGATTCGAAGAGGCCGTTCACCTAGGCTCACAAGGAGTCAAAATGTGCCGCAGGGTTCAGGGCGCAGACGGTTTTGACTCGATAGGCCGTGGTGCCACAACACCCTTGGCATAAATTGGTGTCAGGTAGGTGTTGGGGCGTTGGCTCAAACTACGGTAATGTGTAGGACTTCGCCAAACTCTGCTTCTTACCTCACGCCTGGCGCCCATTCGACATCCTATGGTCTCGGCAGGTCGCGGAAAGCTCCGATCACGAGGAAGAGCCCCCATGGGATCCGGAATACCTGGAGGTCGCCGGCTTGACTTTCGTGAGGCTTCTACACGGCGGTTCGTCAGAGAGATTCCTCACAAAGGCTCCTGGCGAGAGCTGCTTATGCGTGCCAGGATTCCACACTGTATAGAATCTGTGTTATGGGCATTCTTATGGTCATCCTCTATCCCAGCCGGTGCTGCGACTACCTCAAAAGCAACAGCGACACCGATTTCAGCAAGCTACACCAACACCTGCAACACCTTCGATGCTACTGCTACTGCTACGGCTACGGCTGCGGCTGCGGCTGCAACTACTGCTGCGGGTACGGTTACCGCTACGGCCAGACTCCTCCTTCTCCTCCTCGTTTTCCTCGTCCTCCTACTACTACTGCTGCTGCTGCTGCCCCTACTACTAATCAGTACCACTACGACGACGACTACTGCTGGTTCTGAGAACCGTTTGACTTCAACTTCATTTCTGCAACCTCTGCGCCCTTCCTGTTCTGTATGTTTTTGCATTGTTCCCGTGGCAGTCAGTGTTTTTCTACTGTTATCCAAAGTTATTCAGCCTCATTTCTGCTGCTGCTTTTCTTCCGCTTGGTAGTATTGTGGTTGCTAAGCGGAATTGTCGCGCTCTTGGAGGAGGTCGCTTCAGCAAATTAGGGGGACCCACTGCAACAAGGACCTGCGAAAGGGCTTTCCCCCGGTGGGTACTTCGGCTTGTTTGGCTCCTTGGAGGTCAATGCGCCACCAGAGCCAGTGGGAAGCCTCAGATGCTTGCTAGTTTCGGGATTTCGGGGCCTCGATAACTGGACTGGGCTTTGGGTGTCAGAACTCGTGATGGCATAGAGCTCCCAGAGCATGTTCAGAACCGGCCCTTTGCTCCTAAATCCAGCTCTGCACTTCCAATTCGTGCCAGGGTTTTGTGTGTGGGGGGGCCACAGGAATCCGGGATCGCCACCGTGGTTTGCGGGATGTCGAGGCCAAAGAATCCCAGGATAGATTGCAGATCTTGTTGTGCGTGTCCGCAGCAAGCCTTTTCAGTTCGGGGTTGAGGGGCATGCGGAGTTTTAGGCTTTAGGGGTTTCGGTATCCCTTGAACCGGGTTCAGAAAGAGCCAGTAAAGGATCAACCGGAGACCCCGCCCCACGTATATAGGTTTCACCCGGCTTTGGGCGTGCGCCCTTAAGCCATCTTCGGCCTTCGGAGTTTGGGCCTTGGGCGCCCTGCCAATGGAAGGCGCAGAGCAGGGGACTGTGGAGAGACTTGCAGGAAGAGCTGCCTGCACCCTGATATGCCAAGCAATAGCAACAAGAGTAGTCACAACACTCCTGACATCAAGCTCTTCGTTAGCCGAAACGCAGCCTTCTGCGAGGTGCGCCGCCGCCGAAGCCTGCTGAGGGGCCGCATGAGCAGCATCGCGCCTTCGTCAATGCACCCTTCCAGCACCTTGGCTGCGGAAGCCGGCTGTACTCGGAGGATCATGGGACTTAGTAAGTAAGGTTATAAGTCCCTTAATTGGGGTTATAAGTATACTTACCCTAATTATATCCCTACTTACTAAGTCCCATGATCCTTTAAGTAAGGTAGCGAGGGCCCAAGACAACCCCGGAAGTCTCCACTTTCTCGGACTACCCTCTGCTTTGCTGGAAGGCTGAAGGTGGAGACCTACGAAGACTTCGCGAAACTGCTGCCCAGCCTTGGGCAGGAGGCCACTTCCCGCGCCAGCGTGGAGGAGGGGGACAGAAACGGGGGGCATCAGCCGTCCAGGCTCAGGGTTTTGGGCAGGAGATACCGAGCCGCCTTAGCCGCAGGAGGAGTTGCGGAAGCTCAACATCGACCCCAAGATCTTTTACAAGAGCCGGCAGCCGCTGAAGGTCAGCCAGTACACGCCCGAGGACAGCTCTGCATCGGCTTTTTGCAGCGGAGGTGCAGCTACCGTACCGTCTTAGTCGAAGCGTGGGGAGCAAGACGCAAGAAAACACTTCAGGTGAAGTACATAATCCGCCCCAGCGCTCTACATTGCCCTTTTGATCTCTTGTGTTGGCATCCAAGACGTGAGCCTTCCGTGTGGGCGGAGCCAGAAGACCAGAGACCGAAGACCTGCGGCCAATCCCTTTACTACCTTTTTGAAACCAAGCTGCCCATCCACGTTTTTAGTTGACGTTCTCACGTCCTGCTTTGTTGTTTGCAACATCATGCTGGCCTCTCAATCCTGCAGCCCTCATCACTGAACTCAGCTGAAACCCTCATGCCTGACTGAGCCTTCAAGGCGAAAGCCCCTAAACCCAAAAGCAAAAGAGTATACACACCCTTCTACTTCTAAACGCTTCTGTTTTTGGCTTCAGGACTTCGGCTTCGAGCCCGAGACCGAGGACTTGCCGCCCCTGCCGGCGGGTTTCCACCCGCCGGCGCGCAGCGCAGAGGCCTGGGTTTCGGGTGGGCTGGGCTTCAGGGAGTCCACAAAGGCCTCCGATTGAAGAGTTCCTTCAAGACTTTCCAGGGAGTTCCTTGCGAGGGTTCCGAGAAGGATTCCTTTCAGGGTTCTTCTGAGGGTTCCGGTACGGGCCCTGTAAGCCTTTTTGAGGTCTAGGGTTGGCGGTGTGATACGAGCGGCCGGCAGAGCTTGAGGCGAAGCTTGAAACCGGAACCCCACGTTGCGCCCGTTTGGGCGGGAAAGTTGCCCCACGCCGCCGTCAGGATGCTCGAGACAACGAAGGCTGGGGGCCTAGGGTGTTCTGCTGGATTTTCTCTATCAGGTTTTT